CTTGTTCTTGTTTTTGTCTCTTCTTCTCTTCTCTCCTCAATGCTCGTTGGGCAAAATCTACACAGACTACAACACACAATCGGTCACACCAGTCCCGGGTCGCGGCACCAGTTGTCGTGTAGGAAAACACGAGTTTACGAGTCCTCGCCCTATCAACCGAAGTCTCTAGGACGAGCCCTACCAACAACACACGCCATCTCCGAAGAGTCGGCGATAGATTGTCGGGATCATAAACCTGAAGACCAGGTCCGATCCCTTATACGGGCTGGAATGTGCCTCCCTGTGTGTTGCGGGTCAGGTAGGTTTACCCTTCGTTAAAATATAAGAGCACCCTTAGCCACGAGCCACGGCTAGGGTGCAATGTGTAATACGTGCTTTCGCACTAAACCTCTGTGGTCCCTCAGAAAGGAAGGGTACCAGGCCAATCGAAGCCTCTTACAGGGGCGCCGGGGCGAAGCCTCGGCTAGAAGTCAAATACACTGGGGTGTCCTTGCCTCACACCCAGTCAAACGTACAACTGTACATAGAGGTCTCTAATACCTCCCAACACTCGGCCACCTACTCACTCTTGGCCTTACCAGGATGAACACTCGGTCAATGCACCGGCAGACATACCCCGTGCAGCCGAGTGTATCCAGACCCTACGCTAAGCTTAGCGACTTACCGTAGACGGACTTGACCCTTGTGTGGCTTGGGGGGAAATTCTGCTCTGTTTAATGGTTTAGAGGCTGTCAGGCCTCTCCTATAGCTAATCCCTAAGGTCTATACAAATATCAAGTGTGGACCGAGCTTTCGAGCTGATCCTACAATCGGACGAAGCTTCGTCCTAAATCCGAACTCCTACTGGGCATAAAGTGTACCCACTATGAAACTTCGGAGGCCTCGGCAGGCGGTTTATTTTGACCCGCCGAGACCCTCCTGTCACTCCGTAGTCTCTATCAATCTTCTGGGCACTAACGCGCGGGGAATGTGACCGACCAATCAGAGCCCTCGGTCAGCCATCTCTCGCAAGCTCAAGGCAGTTAGACCTCGGCCGGAACTCGCCCGGCCGCAGTCATTTCCCGATCTCACAGCGGCCCCCAACTCGGCCCGAGCCGTCCCAAGTGGTGAGTGCCGTGTTGCCTTCGTGCCTCTCTGCGCTCCGACGCCATGCAGTCCACCGGCGGTCCTGGCAGCGCGCCGCCCTTCACCTTCCCGGACCTCGGTCCAGTCGTCCAGGTGAGTCTTCGTGCGAGGTGCCTGAGTACTGTGCTTGATCTCTTCATCGCGTCTAACCGTCTTCAACTTGCTGCATCTTGCTGCAGGACGCTCAATTGCGTGGCCCCACGGGGCAGATCATCGACTCGTTGGCGCCGGCCTCGGAGGCCTCGGTGGTGCCAACTCCCGCCTCTGCGTCAGCAAGCGGGGCGCCCCGACGGCCCCAGGCTTCGGCTGCAGTTCCTGCAGCTTCAGCGCCATCGTCTGGTGCTGGTGGCAGCGCCGGGGCTGCTCCGTCACCAACTCCCGCCTCTGCAGAAGCACGCGGGGTGGCGGGCGGTCTCCAGGCCGCACCTTCGGTCATCGCGCACCATGCTTCGGCTGCAAGCACCGGAGAGACCTCGGCTTCGAGTGCAGTGGCTCCGACGCTGCCAACTCCCGCTTTGCCGTCCGCTAGCGGGGCTTCGTCGCCCTGCGCTGCGTGTACTCAGCTGGTCCTCAGGTCCTCGCCCGACTCCAGTCCTCTGCACGAGCCTTCGTCAAATGCTGCACACTTCTGCCGTACGGGTGACCCGCTGCCTGCAACTGCGCACGAGGCTTTGGGACTTCCTCCGCGTTCTTCTGCGCAGTGGTACGCTGTCGAAGACATCGTCCACCACGAGGTGCAGGCTGAGGTCGAAGAGCTCCGCGAACATTCGGAACGACGCTTCGCAAACTTCGC